GCAAAAAACCCCAAAAAACGAATCGATTTTAGAAACAAATTTTTCCGTTGTTACCCAGGCCTAGTATATATATATGGCAAACATTCAATGCCATAGACACACAACATATATAGACAGACACTCAGAGGCTATTTTAACATTCCAGCTTCTGACCACACAATATTCTTTTAGGTGACCAGATTATGCAGTATTCCTAGAGTCAGGTAGAAGTGTGTTTTCCTCTCTCTGATTAATAATAGTGCTATAGATGTGGAAATGGGATTTGTTCTGGGACACTGACATGGGGAGAGTTACTTCCTGGTTCACGTTGCCATCTGTTGAAATCATTGCTCCCCATTCCGATCCCAAAAGACGTGTTCACGCATCTCTGACATCATTCTAGCCTAATTGTTAAAGAAATGTTCATGTATTCAACACTTCTTTCATTCCTTTTATGAGAACAGCCAAGATGACAGTGAATGTGGAAAAGCTTCTACGTTTGTAGATTCAACTTCTAATTGCCACAACAGGAATGTATGAATCCTTACCCTCTCCTGTTGCAGATGTCTTATAGCAAAATAGTTCAGCATTGTAGAAAGAGGAATAACCCAGATCTTTAGAATAGTTAATGTCACACTGATATTCCATTATATTTTCTCTTTAAGTGTAAATTGCATCCTGCCATTGCATGAAAGTTTAGTGACTTCCTTGTTCTCTAGATGCAGGTTGTTCTGGTGTTTACATTGTGGATGGTAATGAAGGTCAAGGGTCTGAGAAACAATGCAAGAGGGGCTTGGTCTCATGTAAGCCGCTCTGAGTCCCCTTGGGGAGATGGTGGCAGTGTATAAATAAATAATAATTATTATTATTATTATTATTATTATTATTATTATTATTTGAAACACAACAAGATGAGTCCACAGCAGACACTGCTTGCTGTTGAATTGGATCACATGTCGGACACTTCCCAGGTGTCTAGTAGGCCTGTGCGGTTTCGTTCGTTAATTCGTTAATTCGTTATTAATTCGTTATTTTTGGCATTT